AAGCCGAGTTTTAAGGAATATCATGAGAATTCTAACTAGGAAAATATTCTTTGAAATTTTGTCTAGATATTGAAAAATTAGAAAATGTTTCGATAATTAAAATTTTTATCTTATTCCTAAATAAAAAATTTTTTTATAAAAATGAATTAAAAATAAATTTTAAATATGTGTTAGATAAATTCAATTGATTGTTTGCATTTAATTTATATTTGTGTTATACATTTGCTCCATATGATATTTGCCTGCATTTCATTATTTTCAAAAATTAAAAAATAATAATTTTGAGAATTGTTTTTAAATAAAAATTAATACTCCAAAGTAAAAAATAATTTTTGAGATTCCATTTAAAAATTGGAAGGCTTCTCGGTAATTTATTTTTATAAGAAAATATTAGGATTTTAAAAGATTAGAATGAAAGTCTTGAGTAAAACAAAATTTTTCAAAATTCTGCTTAAATATTCAAAAATATGTTTCGATATTAAAGATTTTAATTTTATTCTAAAAAATAAATTTTTTAAAAAAATAAGAAAGAATCATTTTTTAAATATTAGAACTAAGAATCAATTGGTATCGTTTTTTAATTGACGCTATAGAGGTGTTAAAATTTTTCACATGTAATCAATTCTCGAATCAAACTATTTTTATAGACTAAAATATTTTTTTAATAAACTTTAAATTTATTTTATTATTTTATTAAAAAAGATAAGTTTTTAGATGGCAATTTGTACTTTTAAAAAAGATTTGTGACAACCTCTTTATTTTTAAAATTTTCGTCTTGTGATTTTTAAAATAGTTATGACACCTCGAACTTTTTCATTTTATTTAAATGAGTTCTATATTTTTCTTGTATACAAATAAATCCTTAATTTTTAATCATTAATTTGTACCAAAATAAATTTTTAACGTAAATTAATATTTCATTTGAAATAAGAATTTATTCGGATACAATTCAAAAGATAAAAACTTATTTAAGTATAATAAAAATATAAAGACTTATCATTTCGTAAATGTAGTAATAAGAATGCATACCTTCTCAACAAGGAAGGACTCTCCCAATTCTACTTCGAAGTCTATCGCTGTTCGTCCACTCACAATTTCTAACGGTAGCACTCTGAAGCTACAAACCTCTAATTTTCGAGTAAGTGTTCATTTATGACGTATTTTGGAGCAAAATAACCTCTTTAATACAAAAGAAAAAAGAATGTAAGAAACCCTCAAAAATATAAAACGAAAAAAAATTTAATCTAATTAGAAGCTTAATATTGAGCTAACATGTAATTTCAGGCAAAATATATATTACTATTTGAAAAAAAAAAAAACTTTCATACACAAGATAAGTTAATTTAATTAATTAGTTAATTAATTGCCAATGCATTTATCAAAATAGTCCATGTAGAACGATTTTGATCTTTGATTTATTAATTTCTATGTAGGTGTAAAGGATTTTTAAATGAATCGATTAAGATCAATTGATTGGTAAAATATTTTAGGGTAAATTTAATCCACAGTTCCTAATGTTTTGTTTTTATTTCACTTAAGTCCTTAATCTTTGAATTTACTCCATTTGGATCTCTAACCTTTTAAAGTAGTTCCATTTTGATTTTTTGTCCATGTTGAAGCTCATGTAGCAACCATATGGTATTTTTCTCAATCGTTAATCAAAAAATGTAACGGAAGGATCAAAATGGAATCATTTTAAAAGGTTTAAAATCGAAATAAAACAATTCCAAAGTTAGAGTCGACCAAAGTGGAACTAAAATAAAATGTTAGGGCCATTGGATGGAATTTACCCAATATTTTAAGAGGAGATTGAATTTAAGTTTCAATTAAATTATAAAGGCTTATGTTTAGTTGATGTCACTTTCTAAGAAGCTGGGGAACTTAAAGCAAATACTTGCTTTATCTCAACTCCTAGGAAAGTTATCACATTTTCACTTTTCTTTTTCCAAATTTTTATCACTTCTGAGCTACATATTTTGAATAATTTTAATAGATTTTAAGACCAATATATGTCTTCAAGCTATTTTTTTTTCTATAATTTAAATTTTCAACATAAATTTTGCAATAAGAAGCCAAAATTAGACAAAAATTTTGGAAAAATGGAGTAAGAAATATTATTATTTCTTAAAAGAAGATTTGAATCCGAGTTGTCTTAATTTGTTGAATCGTAGAATATTCAAGAATCCTTTTTCGAGTTTTTTTTTTTTTTTTAAATTAATTTTGATTATAAGATTAAGATGGCAAACTAATATATAACTTAATCATTGTTAAACAAACAACAGACTCTAAGTTAGGTAAAGTTAGAAAAAAAAAAAAAAAAAGGCAAATTCTAACTCTTTTTGGTATATAAAATTTTAGATAATGAGTGATTACCCTATTTTAGAGCAGGATATGCTGTAGGTTTCAATGAAATTTATATTGAATTTACAGATAATTTATTTAGAGAAATTATTAATAGTAAAAATTGAATCTAAACTTTATAAATGAAGCATTTGATCAATATCAACTTAATTAATCTCTGTCGGCAAATTCTAACTTTTTCTGCTTGAAGTTAAAGTAATTGCTTCAAATTCTTGGAGGTCAGGATCAATTCAAAGAAATGTTTTTAAGACTTTAACGAAATTCAATCTAAAGTCAATGCTTTATTAATTTCTTATTAATTTGAACTCAATCTTGGATTTACGTTAGTATACTGTTCCATGCACATGGGTTTTGAACTAAGTTATGTGATAACATGGTAGAAATTTTAAAGGTTTAATGATAAAATTGTTAAAATCACGTTTTGATATCACTTATCACTTGTTAAATTTAAAAATTCAAATTCAATCAACTATTCAAGTTAATGGAAACATAATTAAACAATAAATCAATAACACAAAAAAATATTTTAACGTAATTTGATTTAATTGACTTACGTCTATGAATAAAAAAAAATTAATTATAAAAAATTACAAATATATAATCAAATTAACCACTCATAATTAATGCCCTATAAATTCTCTCAATTTTCTTTTAGTCTTATAAAGTATTTTTAATTCAAACAAATATATACTCATGTGTACCCATGTATCATATGTATGTAAATCATCTTATTTTCTTTTAGTCTACTTGAATATAACATTCAAACATATAAACTCATAATACGTAAATTTTTAATAATTCTAAAAATGTCTATCTTATAAAATCTTACAACACAATTATTTTTTTTCTTATATCTAACCTTATAAAACCTCCACCTATTTATAATCATACTAATATGCCTATCAAAAAATTATTTTCTCTTAGAACTCTTCTTTTGTTAATTTTTTTATTCATCAAATAATATTTAATTAATTTTAAATAAATTTATTACTAAATTTAAATTATTATTCTCAACAAAACAATGTGATAACATCGTAAAAATTTTTTCTCATCAACTATTCAAATGAAACTATTCAGAGAAAAAATAAAATCAATACAAAATATATATATATATGTAATTGGACAATTACAATAATTTTCTATTTTAATTATTATTTTTATCTTGTATTGAAATTGATTTTCAATATTCAATAACTCGACAGAGTCAAAACTTCTTTTTTTTCTCTACAAACTTTCCTCTTGATGAAATTGGATTTCATTCTATTTCTTATATAACTCTTTAGGGGAAAAATACGAAAAGAAATCAAACTTTTTGTCAATATTAAATTTTTTGAGAAGAAAATCAAAGAGAAAGGGTTCAAAATATAGTGAATTATAAAATCTTCAAGAACCTCTTCAATTTTCTTAGAGAATAATTAATTTGACCAGAAGATTAAAATGACTTGATCCTAATCAAGCAAAGGCAGAGTCTAATTTTAAGTATAAAAAAAAAAAAAAGAAAAGAAAAAGAAAAGGAAAACAAATAGGGGACAAATTGATTATTGAACCGAGTCATGATTTTTCGGCATCAATCCTTGAAGTAAATCTTTGATCATGACAAATTTATTTGTTTAAATTTCTTTAATGACCATTATATTTATTAATATTTCTTATTGTCAATAAATTTTCTTTGTCCTTTGTCTTATTGAAGTAAATAAGACGTGCCCATTCCAAATATTTTATTTTTAAATATTTAAAATTATCAAAATTTAAATCATAATTATTAAAATTAAAAATATAATATTTTATTATCAAATTATATAATTATCAGCAAAAAATAACCAAAATAATCTTTCTGAATATTTTATTATATAAAGGAAAAAAAAGAGTGTCTCTTTCTTAGAGACAGGATTAGGATTGTGTTGGAGCATGGCTTGACCGCTTGAGCTTACAAAATTTAAGCTCAAACTTAAGTTTGCAGGATATTATAACGAGCACGATTGGACTTTTGACTAGAATAAGCCTTCTTTTTAAACGGGATTTTATTAATTGAAGTCTAAGTTTTTTTTTTGTGATTTTTATAATGATTTATACGTCAAAAATATCTCAAAAAAATACTTGTTATATTTTTATTATGTTTAATAATTTTTTTCAGTGATAATTTGGGTTAAACTTAAAATGCAATGATTAAATTAAAAATATTCGGATCAAATCCAAACTTAATTTTCTTTTACTACTATAACATGTGTACGTTTTATTATTACATTAATTACAAGCAATTTATTTAATAAAAAATTAATAATAATAATAATAAATTCTTGAATATAATTTATTGATAAAATTTTTTTAATATAATAAATTAAGACTCGTTTTTTTCAATGAAAAAGTATTAAATTTGAATTAATTGATTATTATTTGTTGAAATCATCTGAAATATATAATTTATAATAATTTATTTTAAATTGTCATATATGATATAACTTATCCTAACTTAAAAGATTAAATAATTTATTTGAATTTTATTTTTACTAAATAAATAAATAAATTATTTAACAAATATCTATATAATTAACCTGTAGAATCACATGCAATGGATGTGGCAAAATAATTAATACATTATAAAAGTATTTTATTTTATTTTTTATTAAAGAAAACTTGTTTAAAAAAAATGCCGGGTAGGTGAACATGTTTTTCCTTTGCAGTAAAACACTTTGTAGAAGAATCACAAGATCCAACGAACAAAAACCCACCAACCCACGTTCCCTCCCTTCTCAAAAAACCTTCCACTTCTACCGAATCTTAAATTTTTCATAGCTCAATCTCTTCTTTATCTTTTTCCAGCTCTGCCCTTTCTTTCTTTGCAAATTTTCATGGCTTCTTCCATTACATCCAAGCCTTTCCTCGGAGCTACTACGCTCAACTCTTCCGTTTCTTCTGATGTTCGAAGGCTTTCTTTTTCTTCTCTTCCTATCTCAGTCAAACCAAAAACCAACACAAAGTTTCGTAAGTTTGGTTCTTTGAGCTCATATGTCAATTGGGTTTTCTTTTTTTTTTTTTTCTATGAAGATTTTGTTTGTACCGATCTTTTTTTTATTTGGGTTTTTTCTATTGTTTTTAACTTTGTTTCTCTTTTTGGGTATTGGGCTTCTTAGTTTCTGCTGTTGGAGTTAGTTGTTTATTGGAATATGTGAATTGGAAATAAAATGTTTTGATTTTTGATGTTGAATTTCTTCGCAAGATACTATTTTGTAAAGAAATTAGTAGTTATTAACTTCAAATTTGGTTTTTGTGCTGAGATTTGTGTGTATTTTTAGCATATGACTCAAGTTAATTACGTTTTGAGCAATCACTGGTAGAACTTTGCCATCAGGTTAATATAATTTTAAGTGTCATTTTGTGTTTTTTTAGAGAGACCTTGTTGTATCATGCAAAAGAACATTTGTGGATATGTATATGGTATTACAGTGATGTACTCTTATGTACAATTAGAGGCCAAACATATCCATTTATGCAATATTTTATGTTAGCATTGACATCTGTCTATTCGAAATGACGGTAAAAGTTTGATATTAGGTTCGGATGTTTGTAGTAGCTACATTTGTTATGTACATGAGTTTTGACCTGGGAGTGAACTGTTGTGATCAATGATATTTTAAGATCAATAAGCACTATAGATTGAGATACATGTAGAGATCTGTAGTATTACATTCTAGTGACGATTTGATTTGAGAGTTTTTGGCATTGAGATTGATAGTAACATGTTGCCATTAGGTTAAGACATCTTGGAGTGTCTGTAAATTACATTGGAATGCTTTTTTTTTTTTTTTTGTGATCATAACCATGAGGCTTTCTCTTAAGCTGTGTAATAATATTAGATATATAGATGTGGAATTCTTCCGTGCTTGCATCAATTCTATGTAATCAGGAATTCTACCACCGAAAATAACTACTTTTAGGATGCTGGTAGAAGCTTAAGTTTTACGTTTGTTATGCATTGAACATTTTAATTGTGTCTTTTGCCACCTGTAATAGTATGAGCAACAATTTCTCCTAAAAGAACTGGGGAGGGGGGTGTTAAGATGAGCTTCTGAATTCTGACAGAGTGTGCTGCATAATAGAGATACAGGCAGCTGGAAGTACATTTGGAAATTATTTCCGAGTTACAACATTTGGAGAATCTCATGGAGGCGGTGTTGGTTGTATAGTTGATGGGTGCCCTCCTAGGATTCCTCTATCAGAAGCTGATTTGCAAGTTGATCTTGACCGAAGGTACTTGATTATGAGAACTCAGCATTATAGCTTTTATTCTAACGCTTACATATCAATGAATGTTTGTGTATCCTTGTAGTAGCATGTGTGATTCATGTTCATCTATTGAAAGTGCTTGCAAATAGAGTGTGCTTATTAATGCTAGAATGCCATAGTGTAACTAACTTTTAATAAAATATAATTGCTCATCCCTTTTGATGCAAATGTCTTCGCTCTTGTGGCTTAACAATCAAGAGTTGTTTGCAGGAGGCCAGGCCAGAGCCGAATTACTACCCCTAGAAAAGAGACTGACACATGCCGAATATATTCTGGAGTGTCTGAAGGTCAATTTCTTTTTTCTTTTTTTCTGTGTCTTCTAAATTTCTAGTGTCATCTTCAGCCATTATTGCTGTTGTTTCATATCACAGTTTTATTTATTTATTTATTTTTTGGGTGTTTAAATAGACCTTTCATGACAAACTGCAGGAGTGACTACAGGAACACCAATCCATGTATTTGTACCAAATACTGATCAGAGAGGACATGTGAGTATCTACTTATTATATGTTATTGGGTCTAAAATGGGAAAACTAAGATGAGGCTGAACAATCCTTTGGTTGGTCTTCTTAATTCTGTCATAGGATTTAAAATGTTGCAGTCTATTTTGAATTATCATTTGAAATAATCTATTTCACACCTTTTAAGACTCATTTTGCAATTCTGGAACTGATACTGCTTCTGGACAGTGAATGAGACCTCATTATTTAATCAAATGTCGTAACAATATAAACAGTAGTCATCAGTTGGACAACATGCAAGTATGTATTAATTTGGAGCACAATCTAGGGATGTTTTTCAGTTTAGAATTGTGATTTTTAGATGTGAAAAAATTTCAACGAAAGCATACAAATGAGGAATATTTGCTCAATTTTGACTTCATTATTTGTTCTTATGGGATTGAGAAGGATTCAATAATGATATCATTCTACTTTCAGGATTACAAGGAAATGTCAATAGCTTATAGGCCTTCTCATGCTGATGCCACTTATGACATGAAATATGGTGTCAGGGTGGTGCAGGTAATGCCTTTTAGTATCATCCCGATATTGTGGATTCTGCCATCATCTTAAGAGTCGCAGAACTATTAAACCTAATCATCTGATTTCAACTTGTAATTGAAGGGTGGTGGGAGATCCTCAGCCAGAGAAACCATTGGAAGAGTTGCCCCTGGAGCTATTGCTAAGAAAATTCTCAAGCAGTTTTCAGGAACTGAGGTATGTTTCAAGCTGGTGGGATTGTTCTTTTTATTTTTTTTCTTGGTTTTATAGATGATCGTAATTCACTGCATCTATTCTCTAAATGTATGATTATGCTTGTACTTGGTGCTATAGTTGTGTGGAGTATTTGTTTAATTCTTTTGCACTGACAAAAATTATTTATGTGTGATTTTACTACCAGTCAAGAAGGAAAAAGAGATGATAACCGGACCCTGACCTCTGTGTTCCATGTTGCTAACATCGTCCCTTGTGTTGTTGAGTGTTTAGAATCGTGACAACATAGCTTTAACTATGTTATCAAGGTTCAATGCATACAAGTGCAGACTCCACTTCCATTACTAAATTTAATGTCTTTCTTTTTTTTGGTTTCTTCTTAATATTCATTTTATTTTCAGGTTCTTGCCTACGTCTCTCAAGTTCACGAGGTTGTGCTTCCAGATGGTTCAGTTGACCATGACACTGTTACTCTTGATCAGGTTTGGAACTCTGCTCAATTATTAAGTGTTGATCTCCAACTAATTGTGGTTGGCTACATGAGTGTTTTTGTTCCATTCCTTGCATTGATGTCACAATTTCTGAAAGGCGTTTGTCCCAAGATATATTATGCATTTCAATCTACTTCCACCCTTGTACTTCATCTAGATTGTTGGCTCCCCTTTTATTTCTGACCAATTTATTGTAGCCATTATCTAACTATTTTCAACTAAATGTTGCCAGATAGAGAGTAATATTGTAAGGTGCCCAAATCCTGAATATGCTGAGAAAATGATTGCTGCTATCGATGCTGTCCGGACGGGAGGAGATTCAATTGGTGGTGTTGTCACATGCATAGTGAGGAATGCCCCACGTGTATGTCCTCTCTCATTCTCATGTTTCGTGAGCATGACCGGTGTTAATTTTTGAAATTTTAGGCTGCTCTTGACCTTAAAATATATAATGCTCTAAATTTGTAGTATCCAAAGTCTCCTAGATGTTTTGTACATAACTGAAAATCTGTATTTGTATGTCAGGGGCTTGGTTCACCAGTTTTTGATAAGCTTGAAGCAGAGCTTGCTAAGGCTGTAATGTCATTACCTGCAACCAAAGGCTTTGAATTTGGCAGTGGATTTGCAGGTCAAGAAATTGTTATACTTTTATGGTACTAATTTTACATCGCCTAAAATTCTTTTGAATTGAGTTGGCCGATGGGTGAATACATCTTGAAGGTTATTACTTGTGTGGTTATTTGCTGCTTATTTGCATTGCAAGTTAGTTCTAAATGCTGTTCAACACTTGCAGGTACTTTTCTGACTGGTAGCCAACATAATGATGAGTTTTTTACAGATGAACATGGAAGAATAAGGACTAGAACAAACCGCTCTGGTGGGATACAGGTATTTTATTTATTTGTTTTTCTCTGTCTCTAGCAACACTCCATTGGGCTTCCCATCACCAATGCAACAATTACAAGCTGGTTTATTTTTGTTCCCAAATTTTTTAATTGGGCTAAACCCATGAGGTCAGCATGCGTATTATGAAATGTAATGTTGACTTACAGGGTGGAATATCCAATGGAGAAATTATAAATATGAGAGTAGCTTTCAAGCCAACAGCTACAATTGGTGTAAGTTTGATATCTTTTTGCCTGCTTTTTTTTTTCCTATGCCTCGTGGCTGATTTGTGTTATATATCATCATATCTTATATTCTCTAGATTCTGTTGGTATTAATAAAGACGCAAGTTATGAACTTTGTGACTCGCCAAGGTTGTCAACTTGTCATAAAACAATCCTAAGGTTTCTGTTGCTCTTTAAGTAACTAAAAGTGCAAGGGGTTTATCTTATGAGTAGGCAATTGTTTTCGTGAACTAGCAGTCTTTTGCCTCCCTATTTATGTAGCCTAGACTTTCTGCAACTTCTTTGGATGAAAAATATGTTGGGCTGAATGCTGATCTAGCTGGCAGTTATGAGCATTGCTATTCTTTTGTTTCTTAGCCTATGTCATAAAGCTTCTGCCACCTGGGTTAATTAATTACACTTTTGTATTGAATTGAAGTTAACAATAACTCTATTTTTGTTACATCATGCATTTCACACAGTTCTGGTTTTTTAGTTCAGTTAAAATTGGTGTCGTTTTCTGATTTTTTCTGCAGAGGAAGCAGCATACTGTGACTCGAGAAAAGAAAGAGATAGAACTAATAGCACGGGGCCGTCATGATCCTTGTGTTGTCCCCAGAGGTATTTCTTTGGATGATAGTTTTCCCTTGCTTTATTTGCAATCCTTCTCAACTGCCATTTTTTCAACAACTACATTCCTTGAGAACTATGATGAACGTCTAAAATCGATAGGAAAGTTGTATTAAGCATACTCTATTGTCACCCATTTTTTTCTTATCTTCTTGTCCTTCACTTCCAAAAAGTGTCTCACTAATAGCTAGGATTGTCTTTGGGTTTGATTTGGGTAATGCAGCTGTGCCGATGGTTGAAGCCATGGTAGCCCTGGTGCTTGTGGACCAATTGCTGGCACAATATGCACAATGTAACTTGTTCCCCATCAATCCAGAGTTACAAGAACCCTTGAGCTTGAATTTCCCAAATTTCGAGCTGGCAAATATATAGACATGAACGATGGCAGAAGAGGCTATAGTATCTCCATTGTCATCAACTCAAAATTTTCTTGATACCAAATGTTAAATACTCCATTTTGCATGAGAATGTTCTGGTTTTTATTCACCTAGTAGTCCAAGAGTGCATTGCCATTTCCTTTTGCCCTACTTCATTGTTGTCTTGTCTTAATGTACCATTCATATGTTGACTATTATTTGATTTATTTTCCCCTTACCGTTAATAAATGATTGTTGATGAATTATGAAATAATTTTATTTGATTTGATGGTCTTTCTATTATATGGTTAGTACACTTTCATTTTCCTTCTATTCATTTTCTTTCCTTTTAATTTTCCTCTAATAAATTTTTTCTGTCCAAAAATTTTCATTAATCAGACAGGCCTATCCTATTCTTCTGAAAACTTTCCTTTGTTAAATTTTTTTGAGGGAGGTAGTAAGGCCAACCAGGCTGCAGTAGTGAGGGTGCCTCTTCCAAGAATTGGATGAATGTGGCCCAAATGAAACTAAAAGCTTCCCATTCCAGTTTTGTTATATGATATTCAAGAATCAAAATCTTGAAATTTTAAATTCGAAGTATAATTTAGTAGGTGAGATAGTATCTGACAGGTTTAATGTTAAAATTAATTTTAGTATTTTTAACCTTTTTTTTTTTAAGCTACGGTAATTTTTTATCAAAAAATTTTGAACCTTCATATGACGTCCAAACACAAATAATGGTCCATTGGTATAGTAAATAAAAAAGAAGTTTATTCTATATGACTACAAAATTTTTAAATTTCAAAAGCGAATTAATGGGTTGTCATCTAATATTTAATAATTAGTTAATTTATTAATTTTCATAAATATATTCTAATGAAACACTTGTTATTCCTTCTAATTTTACTGCAATTATGAAATTTAAAATTTTCATTGCAGATAAAATGTATAATTTTCCTAATAAATAATATATAGAGCTAATTAATAGTTATTCGAGGACAAAGTGAGAGAACATAAGTTGGGCAGCTGTTATTTGAAAACCTCTACCTAACTGTGATGTCATCCACACTCACAAACTTGTACTTCATGTGGTTGATTCAAGAACCACTCTAGTTTGGCAATTGGTTGATCATGTCTCTTGCAATGCCAATCACATGCTACAATAATGAATTTGTGGAAAGGTTTGGTAGTTCATGTTTGAAACTTATGTTGTCCACTTACTGCTATATGCTTCTCTTACATTAAGTCCATTTCCCCACTTCTTATCAGATTTTTTTTTTTCATTTCAGTTTTGCTTGTGATTGAGGTTCGAACTTAAGATTTTTAATCTGGAATCTCTTTTCCCATTTTTTTTTAATTATAATTGAGATTTAAATTCGTGATTTTTAACTCTAAATGTTTTTTTTTTCATAACGGAAAAGAATTTTCTAAAGTAATTTATAACAAAATTTGGGTTAACAGTATATTTTGTATCATAGCATGGAATTGTTAAATCTTGTTGTTGATTTGGAGTACAGAAATGACTACACATTTTCAACCCTATTTGTATATATCTTCAACATAAACAGTAACAATCTTTTCCTTTCATTTTGGGTCCGGGAAAAAGAGAGTAGTCAAGTCAGTCAAGTATTTGATCAAAACTTTTTTAACTTATTTTTAAAACTAGAGTGGCCAAATTAAGCTTACAGCCAAATGCTTCATCATCCTCACAATAATAAATGGCTTTGCTTAGCCTTCTCTAGTTCATTTTAGGTCCAATCAAAGCATGTATCCAACTCCATAATTCAAGTCAATCAAGCAAGGAGAGTTTGTTCACCATTAGCTTCAGTTTGTTGTTAAATCAAACCTATAAGTAGCCAAATACTTGACTTTTATGCCTATTTTTTTATATATTTATGATAGGATCACTGATATTATAGGATTTTGTTTTAGGTCTAATCTTTTCTTTTTGCAATTTTAGTCATACATTCTTCCACATATGTATAACACATTCAAAATTTTATGCTCAAAATATTTCTCACAAAATTTAAACATTAATTGATAAGAAAAAAGAACTCATGTCTTGATCATCTTAAATAACTCTTGTGGGTATTTTTATATCAATATGATCTATTAAAAATGTGAAAAAATAAACAAGAAAAAAAAAAAGGTTTGATTAAATAGGGTTAGGTTTTTCTTGTTATTGTTGGGTCAACTGACACAGCAAATTTCGGCTGTCAATTCTCCTGACCTCATAAACAAAATGACGGTGAAATTGGGATCCTTTCCAAAAAAAAAAAAAGCTGTATTTTAACAAAGTAACTGTCTTAATCATCATATACAGTGTTTGACAGTCAATTTTCAAATCAGTTTGAGCGTTTTTCTTTCATGACTTCATCAAAGAAGAATAAGAACATAACATCTACCTTCTACTGTTATATTGTCACCGTTTATAAACCAAAAAGGGGGAAGTTGTTGTCTTTTTCATAATTGATGTAAGACTTAGATTTTTTTTTTTTAAGCAAAAGATGGTAATCTAAAAATATAAAAAATTTATAAGTATTAAAAATTAATTAAATTTTAAATTTATTAAAATTAATTTATATGTGTGATTGCATGAACTAATAAATCTTACGATAAAAAATTAGATTATATTTGATGATAAAGTTGATCGATTAAACTAATTTTGCTGGTTTAGTTTGATGAAAATTTTTTGAAAAAATTTAGTGTAATTAATTTTGAGTGGTTTATTAGTTATTAGAATCTGCTAACTCAAACTAATTAACTCATTAAAGTCTTCTAATTAGGTGATGTTATGAGGTTTTAGTATTTTTTTTTTAATAAAAAGAAATTCAAACGAATAACGATCTTTTAAAAGAATATATATGCATTTATCATTGAATCGTATAGCCAATGATAAATGAGTAAAAGAAAAAAAAAAGAAAAAAAGAAAGGCGTTAGGGGAAATTTTTTTGGCCAAAATTAGAGGGAGTTAGCGGTTAACATATAAGAGATTTTTTTCTTAATTTTAGGGAATGCTTCAAAAGATTTTAGGTGGCAAAACTCTTATTATGAAAATATCAATTTATCAATAAGTGGTTGATTTAATTAGTTAAAGTTTATCTTTTTCAACAAAAAGATTTTGAGTTCGAATCCTATTTATAACTAGTTATTGAAATCATCTTGAATGCATAATTTATAATTATTTATCTTAAATTATCATATATAACATATTTTATCTTAATATGAATGATTAAGAATCTATCTATTTAAATTTTTTTTTTAAAAGTCAACTTTTAGTTAAATTTATTCAATGACACAATTATTTGCTCCCAATCACATCCTAAATTGATTAATATAAGCTATTTCTCTTTAAAAATCAATAATTGAACCAAAAATAATCTCATAAAGACAATATTTATATGTATATAATATTTATTTTTGAAAGACATTTTGACAAACAATTTAAAGTGTATTTGCTCTATATTATTTTCTTAGTCATTCTAGTAATCCCCTTTAACAAATCAAAGCTCAATTCAAAGCCATCAAACAAAGAATCTTTCATTTTTCATCTTAAAGTGAAAGAAAATGATATATTTATTCTTTTACCAAACACTATACTTAATTATCATATTTCCTTAATTATTTTTTCACCAAATACTAACTGAAAAAATCTTCACATGATTCCCCTTTTTTTATGTCATCTTTTCAGTTAACATCCCATGAAACTAGTCACCTTATGATTATTATTTTTATTTGTTACTATAACCTTTTCATATTTTAATCATGGAATTTATTTAAATTTTATTTTGTATACATTGTCAATATAAATTTTTAATTCCACAAGTGAAGTTAAAAAAATTGATATATTTCTCATTTATTTTTTAATTAATTTTTTAATTTTTTATTATACATTAAAAGATATATATCACCTATTAAACTCATTTGTAGAATTTAAAAATATTATTCGTCCTAATTATTTTTTTTTCATTTTTCTTTTTGATGTTTATCAATAACAAGTATTCTTTATCTACAAGAAAAATGAGTCGGCATAAAAAAAGAAAATACATTAATTAATACATAATTATTATAATATTGTCTTATTTAGACACTTTGAACATAAGCCTAGCTAGTCTATTTTATTAGAAAGTAAAGGGAAACGTGTGAATAGGAAAATAGGTTGGTCCAAAAACCCTAACTAAAGGATATGATTCCTATAATTACAATAAGAAAAAGCAGATTCCAATAATAATAATTAATAGTTTTTTTTATTTGACTCATAATAATAGAGTTAGGTTGCAACAGACACACCAAAACAAGATAATGTATAATTGGGATTGTAAGAATTAAGACCCCAATAATGCATTATATATATTTCAAAGAGAAAGATGATTTTATAAACTTAACAAGGACAAAAAGAAACATTCCTTTTTAATTATTCTAAGGAGTTAGTACTATTTATTTAAATGAGACGTTTATGCCTAAAAATTATAGATCCAAAAAATGATGAGAGACAATTAATATCATCAATATATATTTTTTTTATCCATCATTGAATTATAACATTTGTGTTTTCTAAAACTAATTTCAATATTAATTTTTTGGACTATTCTCAATTTAAAAAAAAAAAAAAAAACTCCAACTTCGACGGAGTATTTTCAATGATAATATTTTTTAATAATATTATTATATAATATTTTTATGGATTAAGTTTTATGACCCATTTTAAATAATTAAAGACATTATTTTCTTGAAGGTTATGATTTAATTAAAATTATTATTTTTCTCATGCAAAAGTAGTCATTCCTTTAATAATAATTATTAACTTTAACAAGGACTTTGCAACGGCTCAATGATTTTTAAGAAAGGACATGACTTTGGTAATGGTCCTAATAGGTCACCTAGAATATTAATATACGGTTCATATTGCTTTAATTTCTTTAGGTTTGGTTTTGCTTTTTCTACTCTATCGACCTAGTAAATTTTGTTCCTTAACATTTTCCTTCCTTAATAAAATGGTTAGGAATTTCTTTCTTATAATCTCAAAAAATGTCCAAATTAGGATATGTCATAACGTCTAGATCAAGAGATCTATCGTTAGATATTAACTTAAAGAAGTCGTCACCAATCTTTTTTATCTAGATGCAATTGGTCACCTAAAAAATTTATCCTTTTAAGGAACACCTAAGCTTAAGAGTCCCTAAAAAAATAGGTTCAAGTTTACTAACTAAAATAGGGTTCGAGAGTATGATTACGTGTGAGGAATGTTATAGCACTCTCACAACGCCCATTGAAAGATGATACCAACTTAATTTTGTGTTATCTAATAAGCCTTAAAAATTTAT